TTGTGTAACTGGTAACACTAGTTAGGTGAAGATCTGTGATTAACTTTATTTCTATGTAATAGGATTACTAAGGTTGCCCATTTTTAGGTTAGAGTTGAAATAAGCACACTTGAGATAATACGAAAGTTCACTGCTGATTGGTCTATTAAAGCACATGATGTTGATCACAACTAGAATTATGTACTTAGAATTATAAAGAGGTGCAATGGAATATAACTCTAACATCTGTCTTTGTCACGCTCCACAATGATATAATTAAACAACAACAAAAGCTAGCTCTGATTATTTGATTCTTTTCATAGTCTCTAAGGATATTCTTTAAAAACAGTAAGAGAAATGGGGCACTGCCAAATGAAGTAATACCTGTGACACTCACCTAGAGGGAATTTAAGCTATCCTTTAATAAATGTTACTTCTAGTAAACTGGGGCTTACAAAACAGTCTACTAAGAGGCTATTCAATAGAAATATAATGTGAGCCACATATGTAGTTTTAAATCATCAGGCATAGCATATTAAAAAAGTAAAAAGCAGCTGAAGTTAATTTTAGTATGTATTTCATTTAACTCAATATATCAAATTCTTTAAATCCACAATCAACTTAAAAGTTACTCAACTAGTTTACATAGTTTTGTACTAAGTCTCTGAAATGTGGTATGCATTTTATATTTACAGCATATCTCAATTTGGGCTAGACACATTTCAAGAGTTCAACAGCCACATGTAGCTGGTGGCTATCCTACTGTGGATCATGCAGGTCTACTGCACATAATTTTGATACAGTTTTCTTGAGAGAGTCAAAAACACATTTGTATAAATTCTGGCAATTTTTAGTCTCATCTGTAGTCTAAACCATACATTTGGACTAGGTGTCCAGGATGATTTTAGTAAATATAAATCAGTGCTGTACTTAAATGATAAACAGGCAACAGGAGAGCAAAACCAACCAAACAACTGAAGGCAAATTTTAGAACCTAGGCAAGAAAGCCTTCAGTATTCAAATTTATAATAAAAAGAGTTCTCAAGTTCATACAGTTTTACAAAGCAGATTAGATATAAGAAAGGCTTTGTACTTTTTAAAAGATTAATCAGAAGCTTAAATCTTGATTGTACAGATTGCTAAACTCTGCTTATATTTCATAAATATATGGGCTTAGTTCATTTTCTTGATACAGAGGAAAGTTATCACAGCTTAATGCATTTTCCCTGTTCATATTCTGACTCTATAATCTATATCTGATATCTGTTCAAACTTTAAGAAAATTACTTCAGTGATTTACCTGCAGTGCTTTTTTTAACACCCCAGTTAACAATCAGATGTGTACTAACACCAGCTGTTTTCCAATATGACTCTTTGGGGAACTGAGTATAAACTCTCAAGCAAATGGTTGGTTTATTTCTCTATTCTGTATCATTTGATTGGTATACAAAAGCAATGATGTTCTTGGTGCATCTTTTTCCAGGATTTGTCCACAATTTAACTTTTGTATATATTTTCAAACATAAGTGGGTCTCTTTGTCTCCAATCTTAGTGCTCAAATCCATTCTCTACATTTCTCTACAGAGTGATTTTTCCTAAAGGCAAATATTACTATGCCACTTTTTTCCTTGCTTGAAATCTTCTGGTAGCTCCCTATCACTAACAGAGAGAAAATACATGCATGGATCCCATTGGCAAAAGTGGTTCACCTGAGACTATTAGCAAACAAAACATTTATCCTAATACTGCACACAAACATGCAAAAATAAAGCCTACCTACCAGTCAGGGGAGAGATTTGATCTAACCCCAGAAACCTGTGTTCACTGCCCAAAAGGTAGAACTTGCCATGATAAAGGAGGGAAAAGTTTCAATAGTCTGTTCATATCAAAAACACAAGAGTGGTGTGGCCAGCTTTCATTCTAACACTCAACAGAAGAATGTGTGCTATGGCATGATATGGAGGTAGCCATTGAAGCTGTGGGCTTTTTCATTCTTATTTTATATAAAATCCGGAAGAAGCTGAAGTAGGATATGGAGATTTGGTTAATCTTAATGAAGTCAGATGACTAGGTCATGGAAGTATATTGAAGAACTCAAACACTTTTAGGTACCAAAGGGGTCTAACATCGTTTTATCACATTCCCACTCTGGATAGCTCACTAGAATTTGTTGCTATTGTTGTTGTTTTTGAGATAGGGTCTCACTCTGTCGTCCAGGCTAGAATGCAGTGATGTGATCTCAGCTCACTGCAGCCTCCGCCTCCCGGGCTCGTTCCATCCTCCCACTTCAGCCTCCCGTGTAGGCATGCACCACCATATCCAGCTAATTTTTGTATTTTAAGTAGAGATGGGATTTTGCCATGTTGCCTAGGCTGGTCTTGAACTCCTGGCCTCAAGTGATCCACCTGCCTCGGCCTCCCAAAGTGCTGGGATTATAGGCATGAGCCACTGTGCCCGGTCTTAATTGTATTTTCTTAATGACAAGTCATTTGAACCTAAAACCAGGGAAAAATCTAGAAAGCAATGGATTCATTTAAGAAAATATATTAATTTAAACTAGAGGGTACATGTGGATAGAGACTAATTCTATATTCCACAAGAGTAGAATGCTAGAAGATGTATTTTTAAATAACTCATCTGATAATTCTGTTATACGGCCATGTTTAGGTTAGGTGTTCCTCAAGGATGTATGACCTTCCTTCACTATTCCCTCCTTTGGCAATTTTATGGCTTTTGGTCTTACATGTTATCACTAAGGTAATCATTCAGACATTCTGGATTATTACAAGAAAAAGATCATTTTGTGGTCAAGTTTGGGAAAGATCAAACAATAGAGAGGTAATCTTACTGAAGTCCTTCTCAAAGCCCTATGCACATTCCATACCTCTATGACACTTGGCGAGATTCTTTCTACTCCATTAGAAAGGGTTTGTATCCAAACGGATCTCCTACCTCCCATACATCACTGCAAAAATTATCAGTATATGGCACAACTCCACTCTTGAAACTCCTCTACTGAAAACCCTTCAATGACCCTTGGATTACAAAGCCAGCTTTAAATTCTCTAGTAAGATCTGGCTTTAACCTTTTCAACTTAGTTTTTCTCTTTTTTATATGATGAAGCATATAGGCTTTTAAGTCAGACATATTTGGGTTTGAATTCCATTTTATCTTGGCAAGTAATTCAAATCTTGTTGAATTTGCTTATAAATGAAAGAAAGATAATACTCCCTCCACCCAAAAAAGCTATTTAGAGGATTATAGGTTGGTTCTCCTCATAGTCTATGTGAAAGAACTTGCTGTCACCTACAGAAAACAGTAGTTCCCTAATTTCAGCATACATCATTATTGGAAGGCATACTACTTACAAAGTCATGCCTGAGTTACATTTTGAACTTGACTTGGTAGGTCTGCATGGAGCTTGAGAAGTGCATTGTCCAATATAGTAGTCAATAGCCACATCAGGATACTGAGTACCTGAAATATGGCTATTCTGAATTGAGATGTGCTATAAGATATACACCAGATTTCAAAGACTTAAAATCAAAAGAATAATGCAGGCCAGGAGTGGTGGCTCACGCCTGTAATCCCAGCACTTTGGGGGGCCTAGGCGGGCAGATCACTTGAGGTCAGGAGTTTGAGACCAGCATGGCCAACATAGTAAAACGCAGGCTTTACTAAAAATATAAAAATTAGCCAGGCACAGTGGCATGTGCCTGGAGTCCCAGCTACTCAAGGAGGCAGAGGCATGAGAATCGCTTGAACCTGGGTGCAGAGGTTGCAGTGAGCCAAGATCGTGCTACTGCACTCCAGTCTGGGTGACAGAGTGAGACCTTGTCTAAAAAAAAAAAAAAAAAAAAGAAATGTAAACTATCTCATTAATAACTTTTTAAAATTGATTACATGTCAGCAAGATATTTTAGATTTTAGACATGTTAGCCTAAACAGTATACATTAGTCACATTAATTTTACCTGTTTCTGTTTACTTTTTAATGTAGGTACTAGAACATTTAATATGGCATACATGGTTTGCATTGTATATTTCTCTTGGATAGCACTGATATATATAATCTGCATTTTCAACAAGTCCCTCAGATGATTCTTTGGTAGGCATCCTCAGGTCACCTTCTGAGAAACTGCATATGAAACTCTAAGCTCTCCAGAAGAACTAATGCTTTTATACATGTATCTTTTTATCTTCATAGCACTCTGAACATTGTGAGCAGTTACCCATAAACTGATTGAATTTAGATGTGCTTTAAATATTAAGCCATCAAAATTACTAAGAAAATTTTCTTTAAATATTTTATTTTAAAAATATATACATACATATATATATTTGGTATAGGTAGGCGTTCCCTATGTTGCTCAGGCTGGTCTCAAACTCCTGGCCTCAAATGATCCTTCCACCTTCACCTCTCAAAGTGTCGGGATTACAAGTGTGAGCCACCCTGCCTGGCCAAAAAAATTATCACTGAAAGTTTTGCTTCCCCACCCCCGACCCAGTTCCCTAAGAATTATTTCTGATTTGCATTTCTTGAATGGAAACAACTCAAACTACAAAATAATTCAAACTACAGCTTTGGTTTTTTCTCAAATCAATAAAATACATAGTTTATTTTCTAGAAGAATTAGGGTTATTTAATTTCTTAAAGAAATAGACCATTTGACTAGATTCTAAAATTGTTGAATATTATATCAAATTATTCATTTAAAACTACTGATTAATACTAAACCAGAAATACACACTAATTTTTATACCATAGAAATTTAGCCAGATGAGGACAAAAAGAGACAATATCTGAGAAAAACGGGTCTCTATACAGGGATAAATGAAGGAAAGATAGGGCTGAGTGCCCTGAAAGAAGAGAGACGGAAAACTAATGTTTTCTAAAGTTAACATCAGGATACAGAAAAAATGTTGACTTTAATGACTATGAGAAGGAAAATAGCCACAAAATTAGAAATAACTTTTAAAGATTATTTGGTAGTAATTTTCAGTAACGATTTTTCCACTTACCTCATTGCCACATTGCTGCCATCAATAACTATTGGTCTCAGATTTTCACCATCATCTGTTACAATCTCTTGCATTGGAGATTCAGACCTCTGAGATTCCAGGGAAGAAGTTTCCCGTGTTATAGTGTTAATTGTACTAACCGTCTGATCAGCCTCACTTTTATTTCCAAGTTTGACAAGTTCTCCCAAAATATCATTGATTAAAGCATCAGTACCAAGTTTGTTTAGTACAAGCTGAACCTGTTCTTCAGAATAACCTAACTTAAGTGCAAACTCCAGTTTTGTTTGGTATTCTCGCACCACATCAGGTGGTTTCTTTGCTTCCTTGGATGTAGTCTGGGACTCTTCAGGTTTAAAGTCTTGCAAAATTTCATTGCGCTTGAGTATGTGAGGCTGTAAACAGGGAGACCTGCAGAGTTGTCTGTGAGTCTTAGTTATTAAGCCTGGCTCTACTGAAATGCTACCCGATTGTTCTGACTCCTGATCAGAATTTGTGTTTTCTTCAGAGTCACCAGAGCTTGCATTCTCTTCAGACACCTCTTTTTCATCCTTTCCCGCATTAACGGTATCCATACTTGGTCTCTCTACTGTTGACCAAGGTGCAGCTGGACTTAACTGTGGGTCAGTGCTCTCCACATAAAGGTGGCCGAGGTCATGTCCTAGGTGATCCTTCAAGCCCATGAAGCTGTTATGTGCACTTGACTCCACTTTGCTGTTTTTTCCGTATTCCTGAATGCAAAGCACCCCGTATTCCTAAAGAAAAATGTAAAATGTTTAGAATTTCATAGTTATGGCTTGATTTCTGTCTTGACGGAGAAGTCAGAAGAGAATTACTCAACTACTGAATATCTATTAATATTTTGTATTTTGTCTACATCCTCTCCTCCCTCCTAATACCCTTGCCAAGAGAGTGTCATCTGCCATTTTTCAGAAGAAGTTATAAATTAGAAAGGTCATGTAATTCCTCCAAGGCAACAAAGTAAATAAGTAGTAGAAGTGGATTTTTTTACCCAGTTTCGTCTGACTCTAAAACCCATGCTTTTCCCACTATATCATGCTCCTTCTCAATCTCAATGAATCAGATTTTTCTACTTTTAGGACAGCTTATAATTCTGGAGTGACACATAGAATATTATCAAAAAGTATGTTTTTAATATGCATGACAGTTTATTTACATTTTTCTCTAACAGAATTTGTATCTATATTCTTTTAAAGAGAAAACCACGTGGAAGGAAACCATTAACTTACACTTGAAAAATCATTATTAATCTGGATGAAGCTTAACAGCAATCTAAAGAACTTTCAAAAATAATATAGATACTGCAATGAAAGAGCACATATTCTAAGATGGCCAGAATGGAATTAAATTATTACAAAGTGAGTTAAATTCTTCTTAGAGATGAACAGGGTTTTGCCCTAGTAATCATGATTTTTTTGACTCTGGAACATGACAACACAATATACTTTCTAGCATTATGCTATCCTTATTAAGTGCCAGGGAAACAACAGTCTCTTTCATTCCAGGAAAAAATAAAACTTGTTTTATTCTGTCTGCACTTGTGGAAAGCAGAGATGATATCTCACATAAAATTAGCAGCAAACAATTAGGCATATTAAATAATGTTATCTCAGTTTCTTGAATTTTATGGCAGAAAATGCTCCTGTATTATATCAGATTAACTAGCCATTAATCTGCATTTGGTTAAAAAGTGATCTTTTTTCCTATTTTTCACCATATAAGAATACTTTTACTATTTAAATTTTTTTTTTTTTTTTTGCCATTTTACTATTTTTCCTTAAAAACTATTGGAAATGTTATTTCTCTACTAGGAATGGGTTAGGGAAATAAAGCTATTTTCTCTGGTGCTTCGTTGTAAGAACTACATCCACATCAATGATTTCCTTTTTTTTTTTTTTTATATGGGAGTCTCACTCTGTTGCCCAGGCTGGAGTGCAGTGGTGTAATCTCAGCTCACTACAACCTTTGCCTCCCATATTGAAGTGATTCTCCTGCCTCAGCCTCCTGAGTATCTGGGATTACAGGTGAGTGCCACCACGCTCAGTTAATTTTTATACTTTTAGTAGAGACAAGGTTTCGCCACGTTGGCCATGCTGGTCTCAAACTCCTGACCTCAAGTGATCCGCCCGCCTCGGCCTCTCAAAATGCTGGGATTACAGGTGTGAGCCACCGCGCCTGCCCTCATGATTTACTTGTTAAGGCAATTCTAGTATTCTACCCAGACACAGCATAAGCAAGCCAGCGGCAGTTGAATTTGAGACTGCCATAAAACACCTATTTAAAACTAACCTGAAAAAGAAAACTGAGAAAATGTTTCTAAAGCTCTTCCACATCATATTTACACTAGAAAATAGCTATTATATGAATGTTAAAAGAAAATGCTAAGCGATTTTCTGAGAAGTCACAAATTTGAAAGCATACCTGGTAAACTTTAATTAGAGAGTCAAGTAATGAAATACATTTTATTAACTATGGTAAATACTAGAGAAGAGAACATGGAATCTTCAGCTTGATAATACACTTAACATTCCTTCAGTGTAGATCTCATACATGCTTCTACAGGAGTTTCCTCAGGGCTTATTCCCTGAGAAGATAGACAACTTTAATATCATTGTTCTACTAATACAGCATTCATTAGTTTTAAAGAAACATCAATTCCCCTAGCTCTGGATTGCTCAACTCATAAAAAGAAATATCCCTTAGGAGAGCTCTATATACATCTGCTTCATTATGAAGCTGTATCCACTTCATTTTTTCCTATTAATATGGATATGCATGAGCCCAATTATTTAGAATTGAAGGAAGGAATTTTAAAAACAGATTTTTACACCCTGTGATTTATTAACTACTGTAATATACTAACACCATAATGCAAGTAACAAATCACAGCAGCATCCTAATAAAGGGATACAGTTAAAAGAAAAGTCCACACTACGGCCTTCGTGGCGCTCCCACCAAAAGTATCTTAAACGAGGAAAACCTATTGGAAGCTGGGCTGCTTGGCAACCAGAAGCTGGTTGCTAAGCTGCACTCCTTTAACATGCCATCATGAATGCTAGCACAGTGAAAGAATAATTTGGTATGAACAAAAGCCTATAAAAGAGACTGGGACTTAAGTGCGTCTGGTTTACCCTCCAAGAACAATGCAGCTGCCAAACCAATCTGGAAGCTCCGACATCATTGTTCTGTAAACCCCACAATCTGCTCTGACTGCAGGAAGTGCATTTAATGGGCAACATTTTTGATGTCCCCTGAAAAGTTTGGGTTTTGTACAAGTGCTGTTGTGAGATAATTCTTCAAGATAATGACTTGCTGACCAAATCCCTGAATTGACCTAGGAAATATTATTTAATATTGAGCAGTTTGGGGTTTGCTTTTGTTTTTGTTTTTTGTTTTTTTTTTACATCAGACAAGATGAATACCTTATGAAAAATATAACCAGTGGCAAATATTAGAACAAAATGTTATGCTTAAAGGATAATTGGAATTATTCTTCTTAACTTTCACATTTTTCAAAGTAACAAAATTAAATACTGCAAAGTTTTTAAACTGAAAATCAATCACTCTAAAGAGTATTTAAATCTTTCTGTATCTTCTATCTAATATTTTAAAAAAGTGTCAGTGATACTACCTAAACCTGCTATACCATGTAGTTTTATTAAATGGCTATCATGATACAAGGGGGAAAATGGGATTTTCAGTTTCTTTTAATAACTAAATCACACAAACCTCATTTGTATACCAATGTATCTAGTGGATACCACATACTTTTAACGTGTGATAATTTATGTAATTTGCACATAATTTTAAGTAAAAAGTTTACAATAATTAGGCTGACTTTTTAATGCTAAGGATAAATGTAAGCCTAACCTACTTAAAAAGAAATTAACATCCAATTTTTTTAGGCAAATAAGTTTTGTCTTAAAATATTCTAGTTGAACTTTTTTCACACTGACAGGCCTCTCTTCATCTTCTAGATTTCATTGGTTAGCTCAGAGAAGGTTATCCAATGTCACTGTGTACTAAACAAGCAGTTAAATGATTTTTTAGTCCTTGCAAAACAAGAAACTAAATAGAAACCATATAAATAGGGACAAATGAGTTCAATTTCCAGGCCTATAAGCATACTACAAATTTGAAATAACCTGATTTGTAGTGATCCAAATGGTACAGATTTGGTTTTTAAAACTTTGATCTCTAGAATGCTTCCTTACCCACTTGTAATTAGCAAATGATTGCCCTTACTTAATAGGGCACCTAAAAACAACCCAGAATTTGGCAATGTCTTGAAATAATTCAATGAAGAGCTACATGATAAAGATTTAAAAACATGGTATTTTAATAGGCTGCTGTATTTGTTAATATAATGCAATATGTAAAACTTACAAGAAATTACTATGACAAACTTAAGAAGAATGGTATATAATCTTTATTTTCATTCAGTTTTTAAAAAATGATTAATATAACTTTTAAAAGAATGGAAAAGACCATTAACAGCACAAAATGTATTATGACATGTAAAGTAGAAAATATTTTTCATTTCTTAAAAAATTATTAGACTTTTAGGTTTGCATTTACTACAATGTAAACTCATATAAACCATCTTAAATGTAATCAATGAAATATTAACTAATAGGGGTAATTTTGCTCATTTCATGAAGCAGCATAGTCCAAGTTTCACAAAGTAGGTCAGTTTTTACTCCCATAGTTACCAAAAACCTCCAAGAAATACAGCTAATTTTTAAACTGTATCATCAGGGCTTCATTGTAATTCATTGTAATTGACCTTAAGACATTATAGTCTTGAATACAAAAGGAATTGGGTACATATACAGTGATTTGTGAAGATTCCTATAATTATAAATCTATAATAGATTTATAATTATATCCAATTCCAGATACGGTATTGGAAACTCAATTTTTCTTGCTAAAAGGCAAGTTGAAAAGTAAATAATATTATTTGTTGAAAAAGAACTAAATGTTCTTGCTAATTCTGTAGATGATGATGAAGTGTAGCTAATTCTTTTAATTATCAAAAAGAAACTGTACTAGCTGAATGCAGGTTTACAATATAATGGCTATTCACTAGAAATTTATTGCACACACTGAAATTCCTCCATCTAGTGACCAAATTTTCTTAAAGTTCTCATTAGTTAACTTGGATAATTCTTCATCTCAAATCAGATTTTTAAAAAAATCTTTTTTCTATTCTAAAGAGCCTCCTATTAATCAGGAATATTAGACCATAAACTTGTTAAGCCGATTTATTTGTTTGTAATGTAAAGTTACAATGCCATAAAAGTGGGTTCTGGTTGTTATCCAAATGGTAATACTATGAGAACAATAAAAATAAAATAATGAATATGTAATAAATACCTACTGCTGTAGTCTCTGTGTATTTAATTACCATTGTATTTGAGTGAGTGCTGTTGTCTGCATCCCTCTAGCTAACAAAGGAGGGATGTCCCTTTGAACAGATTGGTTAATGCTCTGGGGCAACAGATGTCTACTGGAACTGCAGGAGACCAGCAACTGGTGGCCTGCCCATCTTCGGAAAACTTTCAATAGACTTATGCATATGTTCGCACAATAGGGCATGTGGTAGAAATGAAAACCTCTTTTTAACCCTTTATGCTCTTTCTTTCCCTCCCAACTGATAGATGCAAGTCTTTGTTTCTTCCTCCCTTCCCCTTTACAGAACTCTTGAAGAAAATAGTTCTTGGAATGACATCTTCAATCTAATGTCTGAAACTAATGTAAGGGAGAAGAAAGGTGAGAGTGAAGAAATGAGAAACTGTACATGAATACTGAGATTGCTGACAAAGCAACTGAATGCTTAATCATCGCATCTAAAACGAGTTGAAACATCTACCTACATCAATCCATCTCCCCAAGCTAGACTTTTAAGACAACAGAAAGCTCTATCGAATCTTATCATTTTATAGCACCTAGGTACGACAGTGACATCTTAAGAAACTTAAGACTTTGACAAGATTTAAATCCACCATTTATCGAAAATATCAGAACATTTATTATAACTTGACTTTAAGCTCCAAATGATGATATGTCATGCTTAATGCCTTATAAATGTTCATGATGCTATAAGTAATTATATAACTCTAGAATAGAAAAGTGTAAAAATCTGCTTCGCAGACATATTTTACAAAAATAACTTAACTTTCTGGTATGTTGGCACTATGTAATAACTTGTAGACTTTCATTGGAGGTGCTTTCTTTTGCAGAGTTCAAATTAATACTCTGAATATTTAGCAAAGTTTAACTTCCAAGGCATTAAAGTAGCACAAATACTCACGTTAGCAGGAAAATACAAAGACATTGGTTTCTGTAGCAGCTTCAGCAGTAAACTCCTTAACACAATTTTAGCTGCAGACTTCCAGGCAGGCAAGAAGAACAATGAATGGTTGAACAGATGGAATGGCAGTGTCTTTGCTTAACCTATTACCGAGTGGAATCACAGCCAATCATAGGCCAGAAAGCTCACAATTAGTTGGCCAGGCAGATGCAAGACAACCTCAGCACCCTGCGTCAGGTTCGTAGGTTTCTAAGATAAGCAAGTTGATGTCATTCGCAGGGTCTGCCCCGGGCAGCATGTGTATTAACGAGGGGTGTGCAGCAACAATAGGCCATACAAAGCTGACTAGTAGGCAGCTGCTCTATGAGAGCGGAGTCATTAGAGAGCAGGCTGCCAACAAGAAACACCTGGCTTGGGCAGACTTCAGCTTTTCCTCCTAGTTTTTAATGCGTGAAACAAAGAAACCAATTATATTTTAAAGTAGTAAAAGTTGCATGTTTCCAAAAAGTTGAGGCTATACTGTAGTCTATGAGCTTTTCATTTTTATTAAAGAAAGAAAATGAAGTGTGTCAAAGTAGCAATTAACTACTGCAGTAATCCCTGTCTTTAATAAATGAGTTACTGGTGAAATGAGACAGAAGGGTATAGTCAAACTATTTCCCTGGAAATAGTGGAAAATCTGTATTTTTAAGCATTTGTTAATTTGCTGCAAGATAAGAAAACAAAAAGGAGAGATGATGCAAATACAATTGCGAAAGAAAAAGACTTAAGAGATCACAAATAGAACTGATTTTTAAAAATTCACTGAAAGTGTAGCATAGTAAGATAAAACACAAGTTCTGTCTAACTTTGTGCCAAATGAGTCATCTAAACTGTAGATTTAGACAGAATTATTTAACTTCAACCTAAAATCACCAGAATAACCTATCCTGTGTATGCCAAGTAGCAGTGTAAAATTGTTTTACTATAGATACTAGTTAACCGTGTAATTAAAGAGAAGCAAAGTCATTATATTTTAATATACAACATAACTATTTAAAGCATTTGTATTTCATAAAATGTGTAAGATGTAATACTCAAATTTTAGCTCAGGAACAAGTTAACATTATAAATACCATGACTTTCTGTAGTGTACAGTGTATATAAAAATAAGCCCCTTTGGTGAGTAAACTTGTTATCCCGATTTATTCCAAAGTTTCAGACTGCAGCATTTATAATACTGTGGACTACTTGCTTTTGTGGGCTGCATAAGTTATACCTTGAGTGGCCTCTGATTATGAACAACAACAAAAAAATCAATCAAAATGTAAATACTATAAGGCATTGTAAGGATATTTCCCTACTAAAGAAAAAGGAACTCTATAGCTGTTCTACTATTTCCTTATGTGATGTAGAACACAAGCACGCACATTCCCTTTTCATTCCAGTGCAAATTAAAACAGTGAAGGCAAAGAACTGCTCTTCACATAGAATTTTCTGCTATAGGCTGATTTATGCAGAGCCTAGACTTTTTCATTATATGATCATGAATTCTAAAGATATGAAAAGTACCCAAAACAATCAAAATCAATCTCCTTTTATACACAAATGCAGAGGTTACACACAATTAGGATCGTTTGTGAATAGTTGGAAAAAAGTAACACTAGTTTGGGACTCCTGGCCTTGTCCTTATTGTGCCTACTCAAATGCAAATGAGATCATCTCTATTTACAAAATAAGAAGATCTACATAGTTAAGATTTTTCAGTTATCGCACAGAAAACACTTCTTCTGACTACTAAAAACTGAAAATTATTGTTGTTTCCAGAAAGAAAACTAAAAGATAAAGTACCATATTACAGATCATCATTTGTTTACAGATACTTCCTCAAGAGAGTTCCAATATTTTATTGATATATGCCATTCTAAAAATGGCAGGAAATTTAAAAATCAGTGAAAATATTTTTGAACTAAATATAATTACTGGGTTCTGAATGACAAACTAATTTCTAAAGTAAGACCAAAAGGTTATAGCAATATTACTGATATAGTTAAGGCAACGGTCTAATTTCATAAACCCATCAAGGATCAAGATAAAACATCTCTAGTATTATCATTTATTGCAAATTACAGTGTGAATTACACAGAATTCAAATGTCACATCTTGGATAAGCATATGGATGTCCCAGAAATGAAGAAAGACTTTATCTTTTTTTTTTTTTGATGGTGGTGATAGTTCTTTTTGAAATCTCCTGAGTAAAAAATATATCAGCCCTGAAAGGAATAAGAGAAAGGCCACTGTTATGGCTAATAAATGTAATTCTTCTGGTAAAACTGAGATTGATTGAGTAGGATAAATACGAAAAACGTAACGTGCATCCACACAAAGTCGTTACAACTGAAACCTAATAAAACTTAATAGCTGTGCACTGACTAGAAGAGACACTGAGGTCAGTATTTACGAATTCATATTAGAAACTCTTTCTTTTGTATATATCAAGGAAACTACTTGGTGTGAATAGACAGTCTTCTTTTTTCCCTTGGGTTTTCTTCCTTCTCTTTATCCCTTGCTACTATAGTTACTACTTCACAGCTTTAATTTAGGAGGAGGAGGAATCTGCTCACTAATGCCTGCCACTGTGAACACAAAGAATGAGAGAAACTACCCCAGGGCTCAGCAGGAAGCCTGATCTCTAGCACTGGATTAAGCTTTTTTGCAAACAGCAAATAAAGGCAGTGATCTGAAAAAGCTAATCAGATCCTGCTGTGGTATTTAGACTATTTCGGTTGCTAGTATTGGATAATGTTAAGCACATTAAAACATCTGTAGGTGAAAAGACAGTCCCCAGTCTGGCTTTCTTAGTCACATGGCCCTAGTCCACTTCCCACTACAGGGCAAACACAAACAGCTGGACTGGGCTCTGTTTGGGTCACTGCAATAAATGACTGAGCACAATGCACACTTATGACAGAAAAAAAAAAGTGTAGTTTTAGGAGTATTATACTAAAATCTGTCTATGCCAAGGGTGGGTCTAATATTTGAAACTTCAACCGTTTGAGAGGGGCTTGTACTTTTCCTGAGGCATGAATGTGAAACAAGTAAGCTTTGATGTGGGGGTATGGCATCAATTATCTTTGCCAGCAGTGATCTGAGTTCACTTTCCTGGGACCACTCTCATAATACGGACTTGTTCCTCTTTAATATATAATCTCTCTCTCTGTTTTTTTTTTTCTTGAGAGAGTCTCGCTGTGTTGCCCAGGCTGGGGTGCAGGGGCACAATCTTAGCTCAGTGCAATCTCTACCTCCCAGCTTCAAAGGATTCTCAAGCTTCAGCCCCCGAAGTAGCTGGGACTACAGGCCCCAGCCACCACGCCCAGCTAATTTTTGTATTTTTTAGTAGAGATGGGGTTTCACCATGTTGCCCACGCTGGTCTCAACCTCCTGGCCTCATGTGATCTGCACACCTCAGCCTCCCAAAGTGCTCGGATTACAGGCATGAGCCACCACGCCCGGCCTATAATCTCTTTTGATCCTAATGATAACACCATGGAAGTAAGCTTATTATATCAAATTTTCCCAACTGTCCCCAAAACGTTGAAGTTAAAATTTTAATCAAAAACTATTATTTTTGAGAGTTTAAAAAAGAACCAACCAACAACAATAACAACAACAGAAGCTAATTCATACACACAGTGTAAAAGAATGGAGTAAAAAATCAAACAGGCATTAACTCTAACATCTGAGAGTTATTATATTTAGGAAGTCAGACAGGCCATGAGCTCTCTTACAGAAAACTACACTTCTGAGTGCTATTTGAAAAGTGTTAAAGACTAACTTTAAACCACAAAACAATGCTAAGAATATTGCCTGTATGAATTAAAGACAAATAAATTGCTGTAGATCTAGGGAGCACTAGTTAACAGAAAGTCGTAGGGTCGAATGTATCAAGAACCTGATAAACATCTGAGACATGCCCATTCTAGAAAGTACTGTTGAAAGCGTTAGACATTCTCCTAATTCCTTTCTGTCCATGAAACCATGCCACTTTTCAGACAAGAGGCAGACCCCGAAAGTTCCAACATTAGCCCATATTTGAAGCCTGCCCTGAATACAATCCACCCAAAGTAACTTCTGGAAAAAGGTACCTTTATATTTAACATTAACTGTAAGGAAAAAGGTCTCAACTGTAATCAAGATCATATGTTTAAAATAAATCATCAAATATAAATCACTTTATATAAAATAAAGCTCATAAATAGAAAAGTATTAATATGGGGCAGAAAAAGTACATTAATATTAGTGTACTTATCATTAAAATATGAACATTGGGTAGAAAATAACTAATATTAACCGATAACAAGGAAGAAAACAAAAATCAATGAAAGTAGCACTATTGGAACATGCAGTGCAAATGAAAAAAGTTCCAAACACATTTTCTGCTCATACTTCCTCCAATAACATGGCCATCTCTGCCATTTCTTACTATTAACATTAATCACATTACTGGAAGTGGGGGCTGAGGGGAAGGTAGATTAAAATTATCATCATGATATAGTTACCTCCATAGCCATTAAGTAAACTACTGGTATTTTAATAATAAGAAAGAAAAACATCTGGGTGCAGTGGCTCGCACCTATAATCCCAGCACTTTAGGAGGCTGAGGCAGAAGGACTGTTTGAACCCAGGAGTTAAACACCAGCCTGGGCAACATAGGGAGATCCTGTATCTCAAAAA